TTCAGTTTTTGACAATAGAATTTTTTTTTCCGTTTGCACAAACAAAGTGTGATTGGCACAAAACTTGAATCCATGGTTCAACTCTTGAGTCTAGGTCAATTGAAAGTTCAAATTTTGAAATTGGCTCTATAGCGCCACCTACAACAGCCAATTTAAAAATGCCTATGGGAGGGGTTCAAGGTCAAAATTGCCGTAGAACCATGTAATTTGGTACACATGTTCCTCAAGTCAAGACATGGAAAAAATGTAATTATGGCTAAGCCCTCTGACAAACAGGAAGCTCATAAATTTCATTGCAAAATGGAAACATGAAAACCAATCATTTTCATACATGTCGCTTGGAAAGCGACTCCTCCTCGGCCGTTTCACCGATTCGCCTCAAAATCGCTCCACATCATCTCAACACATGTACCTTCAAAATGACCTCGGGGATTTTTGATCAGTGAAACATTGTTCGAGCAGCGGAGCGGCAAAATGTGACCTTTTTTTGGCCGTTTTTGACAACATTAAATTTGCTCCCGTTTGCACAAACAAAGTCTGATTTGCACAAAACTTTAATACATTGTTCAACTCTACGGTCTAAGTCGTTTGAAGGTGAATTAATTCAAATTGACACATTAGCGCCCCCTACAGACTATTTCAAAGTTTTAGATGGGCATTTTCAAATTTAGTTTTTTCAAAATGTTTGAAATTTTGCACATGAATCCGTTTTTCCCTCTTGATTCAAAAAGTCAATAGGGTCCAAGGCTTATTTTTTACCCTGTTGCCGTGGCGACGAGAAACGCTCCCCATTCATTGCAAATGTACACCTCACACAAACATCAAACCAGCCTCGGCCGTATCACCGATTCGCCTCAAAATCGCTCCACATCATCTCAACACATGTACCTTCAAACTGACTTCAGGGAATTTTGATCCGTTAAACGTTGTTTGAGCAGCGGAGCGGCAAAATGTGAGGTTTTTTTTTGCTCTTTTTGACAACATTAATTTTGCTCCTGTTTGCACAAACAAAGTCTGATTTGCACAAAACTTTAATCCATTGTTCAATTCCAGGGTTTAGGTCAGGTTAAAGTGAAATATTGGAAATTGGCCCATTAGCGCCCCCTACAGACTGTGTCAAAGTTTACATGGGGAGCCAAACCAGCTCTACTAATCATATTCATTACAATTTGACTAAGTTCTTCTATGGCTACGGAAACAAATCATCACACGGCGGTGCCACCTCCTTTTAGCGGTGCTGCGTGGTACGGTGTGGAGCGGCGCATTGCGGCTTGGTGCGGGGCGGCGTGGTGCGGGACGGCATGGTGCAGGGCGGCTTGGTGCAGGGCGGCTTGGTGCAGGGCGGCTTGGTGCGGGGCGGCTTGGTGCGGGGCGGCGTGGTGCGGGGAGTGCGCGCGGTCCAGGGAGTCGCGCGGTGCGGCGAGGGCCGTTCGACGCCGCTTGCGGCTTTAATTTCTTTCTTTCTTTCTTTCTTTCTTTCTTTTTTCTTCTGCACTTTGAGCCTTAATTTGACCCCCTGAATATGCATGAAAAGTTGTTAAATTTTGCCCAAAAATCAGACCTGGCGAAAAATTTGATATTTTGGTGTTTATTTTAATGGGACTCAAAAAATGCCAGAACAGCGCCACCTACAACAGCCAAAATAATACCCCTATGGGAGTTCTGAAGATGAAGTTTGTTGTAGAGTCATGAAATTCGGTACACATGTTCCTCAAGTCAAGACAAGAAAAAAATATTATTATGGCTCCGCCCTCTGACAAACAGCAAGCCCATAAATGTCACTGCAAAATGGAAAAATGAACAGCAAAAGTTTTCATACATGTCGGTTGGAAAGCGACTCCTCCTCGGCCGTTTCACCGATTCGCCTCAAAATCGCTCCACATCATCTCAACACATGTACCTTCAAAATGACCTCGGGGATTTTTGATCAGTGAAACATTGTTCGAGCAGCGGAGCGGCAAAATGTGACCTTTTTTTGGCCGTTTTTGACAACATTAAATTTGCTCCCGTTTGCACAAACAAAGTCTGATTTTCACAAAACTTTAATACATTGTTCAACTCTAGGGTCTAGGTCATTTGAAAGTTAAATGATTCAAATTGACACATTAGCGCCCCCTACAGACTATTTCAAAGTTTTAAATGGGCATTTTCAAATTTAGTTTTTTCAAAATGTTTGAAATTTTGCACATACATCTGTTTTGCCCTCTTGATTCAAAAAGTCAATTGGGTCCAAGGCTTATTTTTTACCCTGTTGCCGTGGCGACGACAAACGCTCCCCATTCATTGCAAATATACACCTCACACAAACATCAAACCAGCCTCGGCCGTTTCACCGATTCGCCTCAAAATCGCTCCACATCATCTCAACACATGTACCATCAAAATGACTTCAGGGAATTTTGATCAGTGAAACGTTGTTTGAGCAGCGGAGCGCCAAAAAGTGGCGTATTTTTTTTCAGTTTTTGACCATAGAAAAATTGCTTCCGTTTGCACAAACAAAGTCTGATTTGCACAAAACTTGAATCCATGGTTCAACTCTTGGGTCTAGGTCATTTGAAAGTTAAAATTCTGAAATTGGCTCTATAGCGCCACCTACAACAGCCATATTAAAAATGCCTATGGGAGGGGTTTGAGGTCAAAATTGTCGTAGAACCATGTAATTTGGAACACATGTTCCTTAAGTCAAGACATGGGAAAAATGTTATTATGGCTAAGCCCCCTGACAAACAGGAAGCCCATGAATTTCATTGCAAAATGGAAACATGAAAACCAATCATTTTCATAAACGTTGGTTGGAAAGCGACTCCTCCTCGGCCGTTTCACCGATTGGCCTCAAAATTGTTCCAAATCATCTCAACACATTTACCTTCATAATTACTTCAGGGAATTTTAATCAGTCAAACGTTGTTTGAGAAGCGGAACGGCAAAATGTGAGGGTTTTTTGGCTGTTTTTGACAACATAAATTTTTTCCCCGTTTGCACAAACAAAGACTGATTTGCATTAAACTTGAATCCATTGTTCAACTCCAGGGTTTAGGTCAGGTGAAAGTGAAATATTTGAAATTGGCCCATTAGCGCCCCCTACAGACTGATTCAAAGTTTACATGGGGAGCCAAACCAGCTCTAATAATCATATTCATTACAATTTGACTAAGTTCTTCTATGGCTACGGGAACCAATCATCACACGGCGGCGCCACATCCTATGCGCGGTGCTACGTGGTACGGTGTGGTGCGGCGTAGTGCGGGGCGTTGTGGAGCGGTGCGTTGCGGCTTGGTGCGGGGCGGCTTGGTGCGGGGCGGCTTGGTGCGGGGCGGCTTGGTGCGGGGCGGCGTGATGCGGGACGGCGTGGTGCGGGGTGGCTTGGTGCGGGGCGGCGTGGAACGGGGTGGTGCGCGCGGTGCGGGGAGTCGCGCGGTGCGGCGAGGGCCGTTTGACGCCGCTTGCGGCTTTAATTTGCTATTACTTGTGCTTTCGCTTACTTACTTTCCAACTGTTAAAAAAGATCCTGATATCTTTTATCTTTTTTTGTGGAGGTGGCATTTTTTTCAAAATTATATAAGAAGGTATAGACAGACATTCATATACATGAACTGCAGAATCATTTATATAACTTGGCCAATGTCAAAAGTTACATAGTAGTTCTCAATACAATGAGTTAACAAGAGTTTGGCAATAAGTAACAGTGTGGATTTTTCTATATTTTCTTTTTTTTATTCCACTCTCAACCCAAAAAGGCAAGTAATGACTCACAGGGCTCTCAAGTATGCAAAATAAAAACTTAAATGACCTGTTGTGGTGTTTTGCGCACAACCAGCATGCATCGTTAACGCAATGGAAAATGTAGGTATCCGAGCTTTAATTTCGGGAGCGCTGGTTGCGCTTTGGGAAGAGTCAGGGGAGAGACATGTCAGAGACACAGGGGAGAAACGGGGGAGATACGAGGGAGACCCGCACTTGCAACATGGTTCTGTCTGCATATGGTCCGAGCTCGGTACCATGTTAGAGCCGTGCTTTCACTGAGCGCCGCGGCTGTCATTACAAAGCGGCAGCAGCTGCACCAGGACGTGCACATTCGAGTGCATCGCTTGAATGTGCTTAGAGCAAATAACAGCAAGTGCCCGCTGTCACACATTTCACAGAAATTACATTATCAGCAGATAAAGGCTGTAAATCGTGGATCCGTGGAATATTTTCATCCCTAGTTTATCCTGATTCACACAACACACCCACTTATACATTTTGGATAGTAAGAGCACAATAAGTATTTTTTCAGCCTTTCAACCAACCTGTTTCTTTATTGGAGCCAGTTCTGTTCTGTCTCTGTGCCGTGTGAGCTCCTCGGAACATTAAACAGTGCGCTGACAGATTAGAAATAACGTAAGTACTTTGAATGGTAATAGATCTACAGTACTTTCCTCTGATTACTCACGTGCTACAACGCTCAGGGAACGAAAAAAAACACTTGCTTCACGCTGGCTAACTTTTAAAAATTAAACAGTTGCTCAGTGCTTCAGTTTGGCGCTGAAGAAGACAGCCAATCACTGCAGAGAACGGAACGGGTCACGTGCTGCTGCTGCTGCTGCTGTTGCTCTGGAGGCGAGGAGGAGGCGCGACGTATGCACAAACAGAAGACATGTGTCCCGGTCCGTCCGGGTCACGGGACATCATGTCATTTTGGTGGGGACCATGTCCCCATGGTCCCCACGCAAACCTACGCCCTTGATGTTGTTGGTATTTTATTACTTTACTGTTAATGTTTAACAGTATGGTATTAAACTTATCCATTTGCATGTGACATCACCAGACTAAGAGCAAGAATTAGTGTTTTTGAGCAGTTCAAAAAATTTGATGAGTTTCTGTCAAAGGATTTTGTATATTAAAAAAAAATACATTGACCACAAATCAACCGTTACCAGAGGCAATGGTCATTAAATGTATATCCTAACTTTATGCTCACTATTTTATGGAAGTTATCTCCAGAGGCGTTGCTTTTGCATTTATCTGTTCAGGACTAAGGACAACACAATAAAACAACGCACCTTAATTTCCTAAACTCTAAATGTTTGTGACAAATTTTATGTATGTAATGTTTATAAATAAACATTACTTACTTACTTACTTACTTACTTACAAATGGCTGACGTACCTTGCTCCTGGCGTATTCTCTCTCTCTCTGCGTAGCCCACAGCCGCCATGTTGAGTCTGCTCAGCCATCTGACAGAAGAGCACCAACCCTGTTACATTCTTTCACATTTCAGTTTAACACCAACTAATAGTTTGCGTGTTTTTGGTATTTGGAAAATGTTGAAACAAAACAACTGATGACAAAATATATGTTAATGTGTGATTGAAGAACTTTGTGACTATCTTCAAAAGTATTTGCCATTGGGAACAGCAGGAAATGAGAAGCCATTTCTTTTCTCCCAACGCAAGCCCCAGTGATCCAAGATGAAGCCCTATACAAATGAATGGCTTGGGCTCAGTAGCACACGGGACATACAGGAGGACTGAAATATTGGCAAAACTCGCCTAAATTTGGGCATTGTCTGGTCCTCCCAGTTCTGCGCAGTAGACGAGCTCCCATGATGCGCTGCGGTAAATACACGTGTGCGGCTCTCTCGCACGTGCACAGAGGGGCTCGGCCGCGCTTTGACCAATCAGCGCTGCTGATCAGAGCAGTGGGAGAGCGGAATCAGAGCGGGAAGGAAAACAGCAGAGTTTGTGGCAGTTAAGTGTGGATTAAAAGAATACCGAAGGATTCAAGAAGAAAAAAAGTCAGGATGACAAGCGACACTAAAATCCCCACAAAATCCGACCTTTAAGAAAGCTGCAGGTTCTCTGTCAGCTGAGGTCGAGCTGTTTTAATTTACACTGAGTTGTATTGAACTTTCTTTTGGGTAGACCACGTGAATTTAGACTGCAGTACCAAGGGCGCCCCCTGTGCCCATAGGTGGGACAGCTATAAGCTAGTAATACCCTATCCCACGGGTCGGCAACCCGCGGCTCTTTAGTGCCTCTCGAGTGGCTCCTAGAGCCTTTTCAAAAATTTCTGAAAATGGAGTGGGAGGGGTATATTTTATTTCTAGTTTGAATGTGGTTTCTGTAGGAAGGACAACATTCTTAACCTTTTCCAATGTAATATAAATGTGCATAAGAAATAGTCAATTTTAACATTTCTGTCAACTGATTCATCTCCAAACTTCTGCTGCTGAATTTTGTTGCAACACAGGAACAATGAAGTGCGGAACACCGTTCGGGACATTCAGTTCCAGCGAACTCCAGCCGTGACGACGTGTGACGTGATGGATATGAACAGACAGTGCTGTGATGCAGGTATGTGAACTCTGAGCCAAACATTTATTTACTGTAATTCTACAATTGCATGAATGCAACAAAAGGAAAGTAGTCCTTATACAGTAGCAGAGTATTCACATGGTGCGTCATTCTCTTGCACTACAGTGATAATACATATAATAATCATGAATGCATATTATGTATTTGTAGCCTATACTTACTCATTTCCAGCTTCTTCCCTCTGGCAGAAGATATCGCTCTCTGAGATGCAGGACATCTCGTTACGCTAACAGTTTTTATCCACAAGCTGTTATCAGTGTGAACAGAGCACTTTAATGATTTGCACTTGTTTTGAAACTGTTTTAGTCGATCGATTTCACAGTGACATTTGTTTACTGTTTTATTTGTTTTATTTTTGTCTTTTAATGTTGTTTTATGTCTGTATTTGTCTGTGCACACTGGTGACTTTTGCTAATGTATTCCAATGTGGTGTTTTTACTGCAAATGGCAAATAAACTGAATCTGAATCTGAATCATTTTGATAGTAGGCTAATACAGCTTACAGCCTGTGTTGCTTTCATATAAGCTTTATACAAGACAGTTACGTTTATGCGGCTCCAGACAGATTTGTTTTTTGTATTTTTGGTCAAATATGGCTCTTTGAACTTTTTGAGTTGCCGACCCCTGCCCTATCCAGTTATTATTATAGATCCATGTCCCAACCGTGATTGTTTCTTTGTTAAAGCGCCAAACACGAGGCATTTTACTGTTTTGGATGTATTTTCATATTGGTTATGTTGTGGTCATCTCCAATGAAAGAAACTCTGTGACTATATATTTCAAATCAAGACATTATTTGTTGTTTAATACACTCCATCATTTACCTCGCAATGATCTCTGCCAGCCGCTTGTTCAACATATGCTCTCAAAAAAATGTTTTACAAATATTGTAAAGCAACAGTGTATTGATTATGTGAACATCTGGAGCCGAACTGGCGCATGCTCCCACTCCTGGTGCACACCGGGGTAGTCTTTCACAGTTTTTCGAATGTTTACTGCAAATGGCAAATACATTGTTGTATCCTTAAAAGAAGCAGCTGTGTATAAACTCAATGAGATGTATCCTTGTGAGCAGCCATTAGTGCACTTAAATGAAGCTGTTTTACCTGTTCATATCGTCCACTCCGTCTGCCGCAAAATAGAAGCTCTTGACCTTGGGGTGGCATGCTTTGAATGCACTACAAAGCCACACAGGAAAAACTGCATCATTACAAGGCTACAATAAATACATAAATATCTACATTTTTGCTCTCTAATCTAAAACAGAAAAGCCAAACAGGATAAAGCTAAAATATAATGTTTTTTTCTGTTTGGTCCCTGGATCGGATAGATTCTGTGCAGGAATATATACAAAATTATAAAATGTAAGATTGAAATATTGTCACTGCAAAACAATTCAAGTCATGCAATTCTTGTCTAGCCCTAAATCACAACAGTAGTCTCGGAGGACTTCACAAAACTGTTGAATCGCCAACACAGATCAGAGAATCAAACAGTTCAAACACAAGAAAAGCAATGATAAAAAACACATGGAGCCTTTGATCCATAAGGGGCAGAAGACCAATGTCCACAAATGTTGATAAATGTCCATAAATGTTGTTGAATGCTGAGTGTCCAGAAGGATCACCATGGTCCAGGATCATCATGTTAGTCTAACATTATTATAGTATGAGAAGTACATACTATTTCTTCCGACATTCACTGGCTCGGTCAATCTTGAACTCTGGAAGACTGACAAAACCTTCAGCTTTCTCGTCCTTGTGGAGAAAACAAAGGGAAAACAACACTTTATAATATAATAATTCTGTATTGGTTTCAACCCGAAACTACATTCAAATTGTCTCTTTGCAAAAAAAAAAAACACAGCATTGAAACCACATAAAACCAGTCTCCACCCACCTCCTCGTTGATGTACCAGTAGAGGCAGTTGTCCTTGAGCACAAACCAGTATTTCTTCCACTTCTGGGAGAAGTATCCTTTAGCGTCCCTCTTCCTCCAGAGCCAGCCCTCGCAGTCGCCACGTCCCAACGCTTTACATGACACACGCCGGCGGCTCAGAGATTTTAAGCCACGACCTGTAGACAAAAAACTACAACTGAAAGGGCATTTTGAAGTGAATAGATTTTTGTTGAAAGCATGCCACGACCTCCTGATTGGGCGGATTATATCTTTTAGACACAGACAATGCCCCCTGTTGTACTTTAAATCTTGTTTTATTTGTGTACTTGTCTTGTGCACATTGAGGACTTTTACAAATGTATTCCAATGTGATTTTACTGCAAATAATGAATATGAATCTGAATTGATATACAATGTACATGTATGCCTACTAATAATATAATAATGCTAGCATGCACTCATCACAGCTATGCAATAATAGTATAGATAATTACTAAATACATGGCCTGCCACCAATGCAATGTTTCAGTGGTCTAGATTCATTTAAGGCCAACTTGTATTCAGAATCAGAATCAGAATCATTTTTATTGCCACGTAAGTAACAGGAGGTCACAGACTTGGAAATAGCTTTGGCTCGGTGCAACAGTCAGAAGAGAGGTAAGGGTAGAGAAGGTATAAAAAAAATAAAGAATAAAAAAAACACTTCGAAAGGAATTAATTTAAAATAAAAATTTAAAATAGAGTTACAATTACTATATACAATACAGTGCACATGGTGCACACAATGTAAGGTGACAGCAGTTCAGTGAGGTAGATGGGCAGTAAAGTGACATTATAAAGGGCAGTAAAGTGACTTTATAAAGAGCAGTAGGGGACTTCTAGAGGGTGGGGAGGTTAAGAAGTGTTCAAGTGTTCAAGAATCCAACAGCAGAGGGGAAGAAACTGTTCTTGTGGCGAGAGGTTCTAGTCCTGATGGACCGCAGCCTCCTGCCTGAGGGGAGTGGTTGGAATAGACCATGTGAGGGGTAAGAGGGGTTGGCCCGGCCCCAAGCTCGGGCGACGTACAGGTCCTGCAGCAATGGGAGGCTGCGGCCAATCACCTTCTCTGCAAAGCGCATGATGCGCTGTAGTCTCTGTTTGTCCCTGACTGTGGCTCCAGCGAACCACACGGTGATGGAGGAGGTGAGGATGGACTCGATGATGGCAGTGTAGAACTGCACCAACATCTGTGCAGGCAGCTTGGCTTTCCTGAGCTGCCGCAGGAAGTACAGCCTTTGCTGGGCCTTCTTGATGAGGGAGCTGATGGTCGGCTCCCACTTGAGGTCCTGGGTGATAGTGGTGCCCAGGAAACAATAGGACTCCACAGAGGTGATGGGGGAGTCCACCACGGAGGGTGGGGGCGGGGGGACTGTGCTCTTCCTGAAGTCCACAATCATCTCCACTGTCTTCTGGGCGTTCAGCTCCAGGTTGTTACCACTGCACCAGGACACCAGCCGGTCCTCCTCCCTCCTGTAGGCGGACTCATCGTCGTTGAAGATGAGTCCAATGAGGGTGGTGTCGTCCGCAAACTTGATCAGGTTCACAGAGTCGTGGCTGGAGGTGCAGTGGTTAGTGTACAGGGAGAGGAGCAGGGGAGAAAGAACACAGTCCTGTGGGGCTCCTGTATTCATAATCCGACAGTCCGAGACATTCTTCCCCAGACGCACTCGCTGCTTCCTGTCCGTCAGGAAGTCAGTGATCCACCTGCAGGTGGAATCAGGCACGTTGAGCTGGGAGAGCTTGTCCTGGAGCAGGGATGACAGGATCGTGTTGAAGGCAGAGCTGAAGTCCACGAACAGGACCCTGGCGTAGGTCCCCGGGGAGTCCAGGTGCTGTAGGATGTGGTGGAGGGCAAGGTTAATGGCATAATCTACAGATCTGTTGGCTCTGTAGGCAAACAGCAGGGGGTCCAGGAGGGGGGAGGTGAAGGACTTGAGATGGGAGAGGACCAGGCGCTCAAATGACTTCATGACGACGGACGTAAGTGCCACAGGTCTGTAGTCATTGAGTTCTGTGATCCTGGACTTCTTCGGGACGAGGACGATGATGGAGGATTTGAAGCAGGCCGGGACATGGCAAGACTGCAGAGGTATTGATAATGTCAGTGAAGACCGGAGTAAGCTCACTGGCGCAGTGTCTCAGAGTGGCCGGAGACACATGGTCCGGGCCAGGGGCCTTGCGGGGGTGCAGCCTCAAGAAGAGTCTTTTGATGTCTTCTGAGGCTATTGTTAGGGTGGGGGCAGAGCTGATGGGTGGTTCGTTAGAGTAATGGGGGAGGTGTAAGGGGCAGCGTCGAAGCGGCTGAAAAACCTGTATTGTATTGAATCTGTGGCTGAGTTTACACGGAGACAATGTGGCAGTAAAACGGTATAGTTGGATGTCGGTTTCTACCAACCGTTCATACGAAGACTGTGTTCCAGGGGGGTGAAAACGTAAGTGTTCAGATCCAGCCTGCAGAGTGGGACAACTCAGAAACGCTGCACAGCAGGGAGCTCTTTCACACCCGCGAGAGGCGAAAAGGTGTGAAATCCCCCTCTGCTCTGACCCCCACCTCCCCGCTGCTCCCCGCACGTAAATTTGGACATGCGCAGTAGCGGAGAACAAACAAAAACAATAATGGCGCCGCGCACACTAACTAGCTACGTGGGCTTCCAGCGCGGCACAGAGGATAATTCTACACCTTCGTTCGTCCAAACGAACTTCTCCTCTCCTCCGCTTCATCCTACATGAAAAGGGGCCTCTCACCTTCCACGCGGAAATCGTACAGTTTTGCTTGGAAAGTCTACTCCAGCTTTTGCTATGCTCACTGCATTCCCCTAATTCCGCCCTCTGCTTGCACAATCTGTGCCTTCATAGTTCACTGTGCGGACAATCTCCACTACAAGATCTCTTACATTCGCTCTCTTCTCGCCGGGATACAATTCCAGGCCCGCTGTCACAACCCCGCTTTCTCCTCTCTATTCTCTGATCCATCAATCAAACTCGTCATCAAAGGCATTCACAACTGCACCCCGCATTCCTCGGACCACAGGCGCCCCATCACACTGTCCATCCTTCACCAGCTCTGCGCCGCACTTCGCTCCAGCAACTGGTTCAGAGCCCAACTCAAGTCTGTACTGCTGCTTTGTAACTTGTCCCCTCATTTCTACACAGCTCACTCTTTCCGGATAGGCGCAGCTACGCGCGCTGCTTCCCTGGGTCTTCCCCATTCTGCCCTTCAGCCGTTGGGTCGCTGGTCATCATCTGCCCTCTCCTCATACATCAGGCCTGACACTTCGACTATTCTGGCAGCCCAGCGTCTATTGGCATCTTCGTAAAGCACTTGCAAACTCCCTGGTGGCGGCAGCAGCTGAGCATTTATAAATAGTGTTGCCTTTATAAATAGTGGTGCCTTTATATATAGTATTGCCTTTATAAATAGCGTTGCCTTTATATATAGCGGTGCCTTTATATATAGCGTTGCCTTTATACATAGTGTTGCCTTTATAAATAGTGTTGCCTTTATATATAGCGGTGTCTTTATATATAGTGTTGCCTTTATAAATAGTGTTGTCTTTATATATATCCATCCATCCATCCATCCATTTTCTTCCCCTTAATCCATTTCCGGGTCGGGGAGGTGGCAGTCAGAGCTGCACCCAGTACACTTAGCACCAGCCCCTCACTGATCCTCCTGCAGGTGGTGAGTCCACAGGAGCTGAGATCTTTCAGTTGGGGCTTTGGGCAAAGTAGGGTTAAGTGTCTTGCCCAAGGACACAACGACAGCAGACATCAGTGGGAGTCGTGAAGTAGGTCTTATGGGGCTTGAACCCACGACCTTCAGGCCCAAAGGCCAATGCTCTACCAACTGAGCTACTGTCGCCCTTGTCTTTATAAATAGCGGTGCCTTTATAAATAGTGTTGCCTTTATATATAGCGGTGCCTTTATAAATAGTGTTGCCTTTATATATAGCGGTGCCTTTATAAATAGTGTTGCCTTTATATATAGCGGTGCCTTTATATATAGTGTTGCCTTTATAAATAGTGTTGCCTTTATATATAGCGGTGCCTTTATAAATAGTGTTGCCTTTATATATAGCGGTGCCTTTATAAATAGTGTTGCCTTTATATATAGCGGTGCCTTTATAAATAGTGTTGCCTTTATATATAGCAGTGCCTTTATAAATAGTGTTGCCTTTATATATAGCGGTGCACGTTCGTCTGTCCCCTGCTAAACCAGGCCTGCAAAACTCCATCAACACACAGCCTTTTGGGGATTGTGCGCGCACTCTCGCAGGAGCCTCGCTGACTGAACGCCGCACCGGGGCCTAGGGCGCCAAACTACCTCTCAATAAAATACTTCAAAGGCATTTTTGTTTCCTCGTCTCTCCAGATTGAAATGCAGCCTCGCGGAAATTCAATTTGGAAGACGTCAGCCAAAGCCACCCCTTCCAGGCCGGCTTCGCATCCCCAGCCTATCGCACAGCAAACGCCCATCTCCAATCAATCTATGCCGGCCAGGCCAGCCGCTTAAAAGCGGAGAAACTCCCACTTCACGGCCTTCTCGAAGCCTTGCAACCACCGCCTCCCCTCCTCCTCCTCTTCACCCTGCCTCAATCTGCCTTCCTGCTGCCAAATGCCGCCACCAGTGCCTAGGTCCCGGGGGATTGTGCGCGCACTCTCGCAGGAGCCTCGCTGACTGAACGCCGCACCGGGGCCTAGGGCGCCAAACTACCTCTCAATAAAATACTTCAAAGGCATTTTTGTTTCCTCGTCTCTCCAGATTGAAATGGCTTTCTTCTTGCCACTCTTCCATAAAGGCCAGATTTGTGCAGTGCACGACTGATTGTTGTCCTATGGACAGACTCTCCCACCTCAGCTGTAGTTATCTGCAGTTCATCCAGAGTGATCATGGGCCTCTTGGCTGCATCACTGATCAGTCTTCTCCTTGTTTGAGATGAAAGTTTGGAGGGACGGCCGGGTCTTGGTAGATTTGCAGTGGTCTGATACTCCTTCCATTTCCATATAATTGCTTGCACAGTGCTCCTTGAGATGTTTAAAGCTTGGGAAATCTTTTTGTATCCAAACCCGGCTTTAAACTTCTCCACAACAGTATCTCGGACCTGCCTGGTGTGTTCCTTTGTCTTCATGGTTCTCTCTGGGCTTTAAACAGAACCCTGAGACTATCAAAGAGCAGGTGCATTTATACGGAGACTTGATTACACACAGGTGCATTCTATTTATCATCATCAGTCATTTAGGACAACATTGGATCATTCAAAGATCCTCACTGAACTTCTGGAGTGAGTTTACTGCACTGAAAGTAAAGGGTCCGAATAATATTGCACGCCCCACTTTTCAGTTTTTTATTTGTTAAAAAAGTTTAAATTATCCAATAAATTTTGTTCTATTTCACGATTGTGTCCCACTTGTTGTTGATTCATGACAAAAAATTTAAATTTTATATCTTTATGTTTGAAGCCTGAAATGTGGCGAAATGTTGAAAAGTTCAAGGGGGGCGAATACTGTATCTACTAAAAACGACCTTACAGCTTGTTTCAAGTCGCACATGCTCAAAGAGATTGAGCTGCCGGTGCTCTGTTCTCTAAAGACATGGCTCCTTGGATGGCAACCAAGTAATTAAAGAATGCCAGAGCAATGCCTTTTTGTATGTGTGATTTTGTTGAGGTTTGACTGTAGTTAAAGATCAGCATTAACAGAGGACAAAATGGCGGTCAGAAGAGGCAGGAGAGTTTGGTTTGTTTTATCTCTGTACTTAACTTTTTGTCTTGTGCACACTGGGGACTTTTGCAAATGCATTCTGATGTGGTTGAAAGAGAAAAAATGACCAGCATGTCAATTAATATAAGCAAATAAATATAACTATCACTGTATTAGTACTGTGCAAGTGGGCCTAAGTTTCCCCATTTTCTATATGATTTAAAATGATTTAATAACTTACTATTCAAAGCATTCATTTTACATTGACATCTATCTTATGTGCGGAATATTATTTACAATGACAAAGACTTCCTCTTAAGATAAGGTCCCATGATTAAGTTTTTCCATTTGAGGGTTCTTTTCCCATTATCATCCCATTATCATCACTTCATCAGTCTGAAGTGATGACTCATACCTAGTAACAGGGTCGGCCTCGCCTCCTCACTAAGATTGGTATTTGTCCATTCCTTGCTCAGAGTTCAGACTTTCAAACAAAGACCCCTATAGCTAAGAGTTTTTAGGTTAAGTTGGGAGCTCTCTGAGAGGACTCTCAGAATCTTTAGGCATACAGGCCTAGGACTTTACAGAAACTGGAAGCTTTTTGTCAAGAAGATTGGGCAACTTCACCATCAGAGAGGATAAAGAACCTCATCTACAACTACCACAGAACGGAAATACTCGTATTGTAGGACTGGGATTGAAACTTCTAATCTGAGTTTCTGTTGTCAAAATAATTGGAATAAAGAAGATATTATAAAATATTGTGCATTTTCTCCCAATATGGCCCCACCTGTACCTGTATCTTTAGTTGACCAATATAATAGAGAACAATGTCTTCCTCATTGCTTCTCAGACTTTGTTGGTAATTAGCTGTAAACTAGCCTGGTCGTACCACACCATAGTACAAATGACATTTCGTACTAAGGTCTGGAGGTGCTCCATTTAGCTCCGTTTACAGGTGGGAAGGGTTAACTCCTTTTGCAGATTGAAACAATTGGATCTGAGTTTACCGTGATGTATGCAGTGTGCCCGAGTCTGTTGTTAGCATTTAGCCTAGCCATCTCCTTTGCCGCTAACGGAGCCCGTGGGGAGTAGCGCCACAATTTTTTCCAGCGGTTACATTTGCTAAACATTACCCTTGCTCCGGCTTCAATTTCTTGATAGAACCAGACCGGATTACTTTACTATTGCATTTTTCGCCATTGCCAAACTACAACCTGCCTGTTCAACGCAAACTCTTGACATCACCCACAACTAACTACAACACCTGCCTTCCGCGCTCTCTGAAAGGTCGGTCGAAATTCAACCAATTGTAATCGCTAACATAGGGACTAGACCCAGACGTTACCAGTGTTGGGCACGTTACTTTGAAAAAGTAATTAGTTATAGTTACTAGTTACTTCTCCCAAAAAGTAACTGAGTTACTAACGGAGTTACTCCACTATAAAAGAAACTAGTTACCAGTAAAAGTAACTATTGCGTTACTTTTTCGTTTTGTTCTGGAACATAATGTGCACCCGACGTGCGCATTTTTACCTTTAACAGTGCCAATATTTCCATCTAGAAAAGGCTGTTTTGCTGCTGAAGTCCTGTTCACTCTTCATCTCTCACTGTGCACTAAGCACTAAACACCGGTGACGAGCGGTGAGGCTGGTGAAGCACTGACTTCAGTCCAATCAGATGAACATATACATCATATAAA